AAAAGCTTTCTATGGCTTTAATGACAATGGCTTGCTTAGAGCTTTACAGAAAAGCATTTGGTCTACTGTTTATACTTTCAGTAAGTATTTTAAGCTGGATGTACTATTCTCAGTAGACTTGTCTTGGTGGGGATAAACAAGGATTACTTTTTCTGTTATATCCCCCTTTCTATAATATATACACATAAAAAAGCTGCAGCATTGGCATTAATGCCTTTTTTGCTGAAATTTATATAGTAGATTAAATGCCTATGAAGAGAACATCTCACTTGTATACTCTTTGTAGCTGTGTTTTCTCCAGAGCTGTTTTCATGGAATGCTTTCAAGCAGTGATCTGATAAGGAAATAAATCTCTAGATAACTGTTGAAATTGTATTTTGATTTGGAGATTCCAAAGAAATGGCTGTTAAGCAGTGATGTCTGCCATCTCCATTGTATTATATCTGCAGAAATGCTTCTTAAAATGTAGATTTATGTATAATGAGAAGAAACTATTTTCAAGCAAAAAAAAAAACTGATTGATTAATTTTTTTCTATTTCTATAAAAATTTTATCTATTAAAAATTTTGAAATTGGACATACTGTAGTTATACAGCAGTTTAAGATAATCTGTGAAAGGGAAATAAATACATGCTTTCAGTATAGTTAACCAATATGTGTGGGCTACTGGACACCGTGGCCAAGGGATAGAATCCCATATCTGAGGAATTTGAGAAGGGGCTGATGCACTTCATGGTGTATCTTGACCCACGGAGTAAACCGGAGGTGTAGATATGGGAGGATGTGCTTTCAGCAATAGAGGTTTTAGGAAATAAAACACCCCTTAGATCTCACATCCTTTTGCTCAGACTAGTGCATATCTGGTGATAACTTCGCAACGATGTAAGACCTCAAAGGGTACCATTTATCACAATTGGATTGTTATTTGGCTTGAACTGTAGCTGAGGTAACATTTTTTCCTATCTTTTCCAATTGTCTTCTCCCAGGTCTGTTAATTGGAATCTTTATACTGTTTTGTTGTAATCTTGGAGGTACTGTTGGCATATCCTTCAGAGCAGATCTAGAAGCAACTTTGAGTTGAGGACTTGATCTTCTGTTTTATTTACCATCATGTGTAAGGTCCTTATTCTTACTTAAGACATCAGAAGCTCTCTTAATATAGAGACAATCCTTGATTTAACAGATGATATGTAGATGTGTAGAATAACATTAATGGCTGGCTTTCCAGAGTTCAGCTATTGTGCAAAACTGAACATGGCAATAGCTTCCAGACCACCTTGTGCTGGAACATGCTGTGACTGCTCTAGTACAGTGTTAAGTTGAAGCTAGTGAACCTGAAGACAATTTTGGGTATTTACGGGAGTTTGGATATGGTTGTGCTGTACTTAGAGAGAAGGGTGAGTGAAGAGGGGAATCTGGTATGATTTTTGTTCTTGTGCTTTTGAGCAAATAAACTGCAGGAATGTGAGGCATGGGGAAGTGCACATGAAACTTGTGTATGAGCTGTGTTAAGAGTTCGCTTGGATCTGCCAGGCTTCTTTACTTCTGGTTCACCAGTGGATAGGCTAGATTTGCTAATTTTGTAATGAAAACTTGTGTCCTACTATGTGGCAGTTTTGTACCCTTAGGTTTGAGTCCTCCTACTCCTTGGTTACAGGGGATTAGGAAGTGTGTAAATAATGATTGTAGCTTTGTGGTTGATATATTTTTGAGGGTTTGTATATCTCTCTGAAATATCTCGAACTTTTGCTGATCAGATCTTTCCAATTTGATGTAAAAGGAAAATAAATTAATAGTTTGAACAAAATCAGTACCTGTTTGAAGTAAATAGTCATTTTTTCTGATGAAAGGATTTACTCAATATCATAAATGGCTTTTGTATGGAACAATGAACTGAAAGGGTCCAAAGCTTTTTAGCTTTGATGTTGGAGCAAAAAGGCTTTAGGACTGCACTGTAAGCCATTTTTTAGTAACCTTCACCGTTTGCTGTGTCTTTAAGCTATATGTAGAGGTATGGGCTTTCAGATCAGCAGAATTTCAGACTTGCAGCACAAGTTTCTCACGGTTCAGACTTGTCAAATCTAATATTTGGAGCCTCATTGCACAGGAAAGAATAATTCAGTGGATTTCAGGATACAGCAAATGCATTTATGTTCATTAAATGTGTTGTCTAGAACATGTCATCTGTGCAGCTACCATAATGTCTAGCTTCAATGCTGGAGATTTTTTGGTTTTGAAAAGATGGCAACTTGTGGTGTTAAAGTTTTGTAGGTCAAGTTTTAGATATACAAAACATATTAAACTATTCAGCTTTATTAAAATAAACAGTACAGCTGGAGTAAACAATTGTGCTTTGGAACACTCACATTTTCTGTGGTCCAAAGCCTTCCAGTTATTTTGTTTAGATACAAAGTGGATGTCACTTTCGTTGCAGGTATGCGCTTCCATTTATGGTGACTGTAGTTTGTAATTTTATTGTTAGGTAGTTTTTTTGTTGCAGTTTGAAAGTGATATTCAGACCTATGCATTGCATACTTGAATACATGCTTGCTTACTCCTGAATTGCAGCCAGAAATTGAGTAAAATTTCATATGAATATTTTAACAAAGATTACTGCTAGAAATTTAGACTGTATCACACTGCAGGTGCTCAACATTCTGAAATAATTTCAGCATATTTTACTGTAAATGGAAGAATCTCTCATTTTAAATGTATGCAGTGTTTATTTTTGTTCCAAATAACTTACAAGGCAATTTTAAAATAAACATGAGTAATCTTAGGTATTGCTTGAAAAGCTGATGTGGTATTCCACTATATGAAAGCTTTCATTTGAGCTTAACTATGAACTCCCTGTTCATAAGTACTGATCTTTTATTTAAGAAGGCTGTTGATGTGGAATTTTTGACTTGTGGAAGTTCAGACTTGTTGCAAATTGTTTCAGCTTGTTTGCTTGACTGTATCTTGGGACCCATAAGAAAAAAAAATTGGAATATATCTAATAAAACAAGAATTGCCTGAGGATTTCTTAAGATCTGGCCTGCTAATTTCAGAAGACTAGTTTATGCAGGGCCTTAAATTTAATAGCTTTTGTGGACTGTAGTAATCCATAAGCAATTTGCTGAATTGTATCTTGTTTCTAATTCAGGCCAAAATTGGGAACTGGACTTTCAAGTAAGAAGGGGAATAAAATTTTCCATCCAAGAAAAGGCCATGAGGAGGAAAGTGTAGCAGCAGCTAAGTGTTATGAGCTGACCTCAACCCTCATTCCTCACACCCCTGTGCTACTCACAGGAGGAGGTAGAGTCAGGAGTGAAGTTGAACCTGGGAAGTAAGGGGGGGATGTGTGTGGAATGGGGTTATGATTTTATTTATCACTATCCTACTGCCACAACTAATTGGCAATAAATTAATCTTCCCCAAATTGAGTCTGTTTTGCCCATGACTGGACTTGCTGAGTGATCTCCCTGTTTTATCTCAGCCCATGAGCTTTTCATCTTATTTTCTCCCTCCTGTTGAGAACAGGAGTGATGGAGCAATTACTGGGCACCTGTCAGACAATGAAGGTCAACCTACCACAATTCCAGTCCAAATAATACTGCAACAGAGATTAGTTAAGTTACTGTTCAGGAATATTTACTGTACCCAATGAAAATTTGTAAAACCAGGATCTTCAAACTGTTGGAACCTGAAATGACACAATCACATGTACAAAAAGATAGTTTTAGGCACAAACAAAATACAGTGATGCTAAAGAGAGAACAGGCTTATACTGCTTATGGTAGCAGCTAAAACAAAATCCTTTGTTGCTACATGGGAAACACTCATGGAAAAATGGCCCAGCTGCAGTCACCTACAAAGCAGGAAAGTCTACAGCTCCAGTCTACTTAAGCTTTAAACAAAAAGAAATGCAAGTATTAAAAGCCTGAGCATGAAAATTGGATCCTTCCTTTAACATTCCCTACAAAATTTCAAGTGCAGCTTATCTTGATCAGCTCTTTTTGTGATTTTTTTTTTCCCCAACTAAAAGTTGTCTGCATACTTCAAGTGAATCCTCACATCTTTTCCTGTAACTATCCCTCCAGTTTCATATATGTTCCAAAATGTGATACATCAAAGTGGACTGCTGAATGTACACAGCTTTTCTCCCAGTTTATGTGGCTGGGGATGTATGCCCTATTGAGCCCAGCTCATGAGAACTTTCATACATTCTGGCTCTTAAGTCCAATTTTGTGTCCTTGAAATAACAATAGGCAGATTCTCCTTTTTGTTTTCCTTTTATGAATTCCTTTAGCCTACTTTCCCTTTGAAGTACCTTCTGGTCTGAAAGAGCACCAGCTGTATGTGTTGGTATTTTCTGTAAGTGGAAATGGTTGGTTTTTCCTTGTCTTCCTTTACTTTTATCTCACCACTTCTCCCTAGTTATCTCGATGTAATGCTATGGTTATGAACCTCAACTGGTTTTGGTAAACTTCAGTGATAGTGGGGGGTTGAGTGGCAGTTGAGAAGATCTTGGATGTTGGTGCTGGTTTGGAACTGGATTTATATGCTTATGTTCTCTGGATTTAATTCTGTCTGCTTCTGGGTTTTAGTGTAGGGTATATTGTATAGGTTGCTGCATTACTTCATAAATCTTCAAGGGAGGATAAGGCAATTAAGATTTTTTTTCTTCAGAGCTTTGGTTGATATGTATCTGAGATTGCTGCTGGATTTGTTTTGATTGTGCCTGGTAACGTTTGTTCAAAAACTGAATTTCATTTTGAGCACATCTGTTCTCAGTGTTGAATGCTTTATACTATTTGAGCTCTTTGAGTTCAGTTACTTCTGTTTCTGTTGGCACCTTGTGGAGCCACGGACATGCTGTTAACTGTCCTAGACAGTTGTACTTAATGACTGATTTGCACCTAGAACAAAAAATTGATTGCCAAAATATTCCATTTTGATTGTTTATTTAGATGTAAAAATCCAATGAGCTTAATGATTTTTTTGTTCTTTTCTTACAGTTCAACTTCGTGGGGAAACTTTTGGGTCCACGTGGCAATTCCCTAAAGCGCTTACAGGAAGAAACACTGACAAAAATGTCTATTTTGGGAAAAGGTTCTATGAGGGACAAGACAAAGGTAAGACCTGAATATGTTAGTGGAGTGTGTGATACCTGAATTTCTAACTTTGCTAAAATTTTTGCGGAGATGAACAAATCCTGCAACAAAACTAGGAGCGAATGAAAAGCGTAAGATAAAAGCATAGGGTATCCTGGTATTGGTTAGAGTCTAATGGAGACTGCTTTCTCTGAGTCTATTTTCACTGAGTATTTTGAGGCTACCATGAGTTGTACTTAGGCCCCCACCAAACTATGGTCCTTGGGGATGTAAGTGGAACATTACCAGTGACATGTTCTAGATTGATCTTGTACAGCTTGCAGTGGATAATGCCAAAATACTATGACAGTATTCTTGCTTTTGAAGGAACCTGACTTCGAGATAGATGCAAACAAACATTTTAACATAAATTAACACTTAACATTTAAACTTCATTAAATTTAATAACATGTCTAGACAAAGAAACAGCTGATGAAAGGAAATAAAATACAACCAGAAAAAATTTCACAGCTCTGAGGATGACTTACGCATCTTATACAATTGATAAATTACAATTGTTTGTTGGAACTATTTGGTTATAGTGGTTGTATCCATTACAAGAGACAAAGCAGACAGCAGAAGAGAAACTTTTGGCTTGATAGGTGTTTGTACTAATCTGTTTCCCTCTTTACTGAAGTAAATCTCTGGCTAAATTTGTAGTGGATAAGTGTATATCAGTGAGGAGATTATGTCACCTGTGTGGTAAGCTGCATTTTTTAATTGGAGCGTTCCTAATGATACAAAATGAAACACTGAACGTATTTCTTGCCTTGAGCATACCATGTTTTATGGGCCTCCAGTGAAATCTTTCTGTGGTTATGTATTCTGAAACTTAAATACTGTGTACTGCAAAGACTGATAATGACATGCATATGGAAGAGTGACTTAGAGGGCTGGCTAATAAATTTCCTGAACTATATATTTTTCAGCATGTTTTTCTGTCAGTGAAATAGAAATATTATGTGATTTATGAAGTATTTATCAAGAACTTGATCAGAGCCTGTAAAATTACTTTGTTCTGTGCAGCTTAAGAGCTAACTCTTCCTTTTAATTGCTTATTGAAAATATTTTTATTAAATATAACTTATATTAATGTAACTTACGTTAATACAAATACATGTTCCTGTAATAAAGACTTGAACATGAGGGATTTTTTTGAATGGGAGCTGTTAATGTAGTACGTAATACAGACAATGCAACTTAAATCTTAGTGTTACAAAATTGTTATGAAAAACTACATTGCTAGTAAGTTTAAGAGGAAATATGACAGTTCAACCAGAAAAGAAACAAGAATATGAACTAAACTTGCTCTAAGCCAGGATAACAAACTCAGTCTCCAAGTTCTGTTTTAAATGACACTTGGTGAGCTTTCTCAGTTATTGTGGAATGTGTCAAACTGTCATTCTTCTGTTGCTGCATTACATGTTTCTATATCAAAATACGATGTGTCGTGGAGTAGGAATGCCCCTGAGTTTTTCTAATGGCTCTGCAGTATAAAGTTTGTTTTATTAAAAGCAGAAGCTCAAGCTGAAAAGTTTAGATTCTAATTTGAGTCTCATAATCCTGGGGAAGAGTCTTAAAGGATTCTAATTGAATAATTTCAACTTCTTGTTTACTTTGGTAATTAAGTAATTGTTCAAATTTTTATTTGACTTTTTCTTGATTGAGATGCTAACCAAAACTTAAAAAATGCTTAATTTTTATTTTTTTTAAATTAAGTGGCTAATGAAGTTGTTAGTTTGAGCTATTGTTTGCAGAAAACTTCAACACGGTTGAAGTTCAATACTGTTCAGAAACAGTAAAATTCCTGTCATTGTGGGTTTGTGTTTTTAAAAGGGACAATAGAGAGGACTTGTTTGGATACTTTGGAATAATATGTCTGGCATAGCTTGTATGTACCTATTTGGAATAGTCCTCAGAAAAAATAATTAAAACCTAAAGCAGATCATTAATGATGCTGGTTATAGTAGTCAAACCTGCAGAATGTGCAAGAAAGTACTGGTGCTACCAAGGGATCCTATTAGCTGATTACCTAAACCAGTTTGTACTTATCCCTAGTTCTTTGAGGATGTTGCTCAGCATATCAGAGACTCTGTATGTGGAGAGCTTAACCGAAAAAAGGACTTGAGATATTTTTTCTAGTTTCATGTAGGTTAGCTATGTACTAATTGTTTCAACCACATATCTTTCACTAACAAGTAATTTAGTTTTTGTCTTGATCTTCATAGACTCTTGGTTGGCATTTTGGAACTACTGTATTAAACTTGTCCAGAAAAGTAGCAAATAAGGGTCTTAATTACGCAGTTTTCTTTCTGTATGGAAAAGAATAATGGTCTATGCTCAAGAGGAGACCAGGGTTTAATTACTTGGTGTTAAGTTGCTGGTCAGAAAGGCTGGCAAATTCTCAGATGTGACCAGTTTTTGCATTACTTGAAAAAATTAGTTGAGGCTTTAGTGTGGTATTGACAAATAATGAAGTACATCACTCTTGCCCTGTTTGATAAAATGTTTCAAATAGAGAGAAGCCTGAGTTGCTCCTATAGAAGAATAATAGGTAAACAGAGTACAATACTTTTTCTATTTGCCAGTAATCCATGTGCTAAACCAAGCAATTTCATTACTGCCTTGTAGAGAAGACAGATAGTGAGCCAAGGTGACATGTCAGCCTAGAAAGACACATCGGAGTTAACTGTTTTTCCATTGCATCTGTGACTCCCAGCATTACTTGTCTGTCATAGTTGTTCAAGCTTGGTTGATTCTCCCTATTTTCCAGTGGGCTGTCTGACCAAACCACAAGTTTCTAGCCTGCTATCTTACATCTTGTAGGACAGGAGTTGACTAAAAAGTATAGTTGCAATTATGTGGGATTTTCTTCTAATTATCATTAACTTTTGATAATCTCCTGACAATTTAGTATTCTCCTTGTGATCGGAAAGTTAGGTTAAACTGTGTTTTCAGAAGTGCCTAGGTGATGTAAGATGCTGATGTTCAAAGGCATAAACTGTAATTTAAAAAAAAAAAATTTAAAAAAAATTCTGTAAAAAAAATTCATTTTGGAGCATTGCTTTGGTTGTACTTTTTGCTGCAGGTTACAAAATCTTTGGAATTACATTATCACAGATGAAAAATTTTTCAGCTGATGTAAATTAGTACTCTCGCACTGAAGGCAAATTTGCACTGAGGATCTCGTCTATTACCTCTAACACATTAATTGCAGCATCTTTGTTGTCACCAGAAGTGAGACAGCATATGCTGCTTATTGATGGTGATCACAGATTCTGGGATCAACCAATTGTTGGCAGGTCTGGATGAGATAATCAGATGTTTCTCAATGCTTACATGTTAGTACACGTCCTACATTACCAGTTTTAAATGCATGATGATTACATCTTTCCTGTAGAGAAGCGGCAGTAAGCGCTGTAGAAGTCTCTGGCTAAACCAAATTTGTAGATACTTTCTTCTAGCTTTAAGAGAACTTCAAAGACTTGTGAAAGAAAGCTGACTGATATGAAAGGTTGACAAAATACAGCAAAGAGCCTAATTGCCTTCTGCAGGTTTTCTAGGGAAGGATATAAAACAGGAAACCCAGGATTCTGTTTCACTTTAAATTCATTTAAATAATAAGAGACCTAGATTTAGAAAGCACATTCAGGAGAGTGTTTTTGCTGTGTCTTTGTTCCTTACTCACTGAAAACTTGAATTCTAGAATGAATCTGGAGTTTCTATTTCCTTTTGTCAACATCCAGAGAACCATTTCATGCATCTGCTTGTGATATGAAGTGTCTAAATTCGGTAATTCTCTTCTGTTTGCATGTTTTTTCAAGCTGTGCTGTCACTTCATCACTGGCTTTTCAAGAGTCATTGCTTAGTGCAGAGATACCTTCTGCTAGACTGTGTGTGTTTTAATGTGTCCATGGGAGAGTGAAAAAGTGAAAGGATTTGTTTCAGAGTTTCTTTATTGCATGACAAGATTGCTTTTATATTGCAGATCTGAAGAAATAACATTTAAAGCCTTCCACCCCAATTGGTTATTCCTGTGTTATCAATAGTTTGAGACTGGTACAGGCCTTTCAACTTGAGTATTCTGAATGGTATTTAAAATCTGTCAGGAGCCAAATTTCATTTAGGGTAACATTGAAAGGAGTAGTTCCTGAAGAAACTTACACCCTAAATCAAAGGTAGCATAATAAAGATGAAAATGCACAGTAGCATAAGCATGTATTTTGATAAATACTTCTACTCAGCTGCTGATTGAAAGCATAGACTTCTAGGGCAATAGGATGAAAAGCAACAGGGACTGTAGGTACAACAGAATACAGGGCAAAGTATATTAATGGTCTTTAGCAGGTATATTGCCAGATACAGCGCAAGGTAAGATGTGCTGGCATTCAGCTTTGTTCTGGAGTGTGAAGGATGAAATGCAACAGCATGAGGTGCAAAGGAAATAGCTTTCAGTACTGCAGGGATGTGTCTGTACTGAAAACATAAGTGAGATCAGCTTGTCCAAACCATGAACCATTTGGTAAGATAGTTTTTTGTGTGAGAAGATAGACATTTAAAGAACAGATTTTTTTTAGAAAAAACAAACAAAACACTAAAGGAAGTGGCCATCTTGTGCTTTAGCTCCCTTGTTCTGTATCTGCTTTACTGTCATCCTTCCAGCAGCTCTCAAAAATCTTCATGTCAGTCAAGGAGGAAAAGTTCTGTTTTGTCCAGCCCTGCAGCACCCATGTGGACCAGGCGAGCCTTGCCAATGCGTGTACTGTCAAGTAATGGAAGGCAGAGGGCTTTTTGGGAGCTAAAAATTCTGTCAGTGAAGGATACTGGAACAGGAGCAAGCTGTGGCTTTTGTGTTGGTCAACCTGGGGAATAAAAAAGCCTGAAATGCTTAATGTGTGCCCAAGGTTGGGAGATGTAGCCACAGTGGACAAGCTCTGATAGGTGTGATGTTAAGAACTGTGGAGTATAGTGTGTTGTCAAGTCACGTTACAAAATTAGCAGAAAAAAAGAAAGTGAACTTCGCAAGTGAATCAAGGCGAAAGGATAAAGTAAAAGCTTGCTTATGGGAATGATTTTAGAACAACCTGCACTGAAATATCTTGCACATCTTGTTAAAATTGCTGATTAGGATCCTTTTTCACCAGGCACTGCACATGAAGTTGTGACATTTCTATTGCTTTAGTGCTATTACCAGGCAAGTTGGTTAATAACCACAGAAATGAGTTTTCTTAATTCTCAGTTCTCTGCACATCTAACTGCACAGTGATTTCCCTCCCCCCCCCCCCTTTAAAAAAAGGGGCAGGGAGGCTTGACAGGGATGCTTGATAGCGTGTGTGTATACTAAAAAAACAAAGTATATGGGGAATGCCACTGATGAAACATTTAGTTTCCAGTGCTAGATGACACTTTGTATGTCCTGAATAACTGTGCTTAAGAATTTAAGTGAGAAATAGTTCCTATTGAAACTAAATGTTAGAGCTGTAATGTTTATATTCGTTTACCTCCTGTTTCTAAGATCTGTTATGTGTATTGACGAGATAATGACTTTGCTGACAGGGTCTAATCCTGCTGGCTCTGTTTTGTGGATGCTCTAACAGCTAACTGGATTATGTAGATTTTTTTTAAGCATTCTTATATTCAAACACTAAGTGTGATGCCAATGTTATTTATGAGAAGCAGAAATGGATTGGCACTTAAACCTCAGACCATAATTAAGGAGGGAGATTTCGACTATCATTGAAACTATAATTTTAGTAATCTAAAGGATTAAGTATTTACCTGGTGCTTGCTAAATAGAATAAGCAGCATAGGAGAATTCCTGTGGCTTTGTTTTAGATAGCAGAAATGCTAAGAATTTGACATAATGTTAGCTGGTGATATGACCAAGTTATTTTTAATGGTGATTTTTCTCTTGGAATGCACCTGGCAGGTACACATGGGAGCAGGGTAGCCTATCTGAGACTAACAAATGTCCTTGAGCTCTATGAACATTTTGCATGTGAATGCAAGTATTTGAGAACTGAGCTCTGCGCCAGTGCATTGAGATTGTAGTTTTTCAGTCATGTTGAAGTAGGTTGGGTGAAGCAGAATAGAAGAAAAACTCTTTTCAAAAATAGCTTGTGAACTTTTTTTCTAAAATCCTCCTCCCTTGTCTCATACACTTAGTTTCATGTACAAGTAGCATAGTTCTGTGAAGGATGTACTCATGGGGTAGAAATCTCAATGAGAACAGAAAATAAGTACCTGAGCAGTGCAACATTAGTGACTGAAATAATATCAGTAAAAAAAATCTTGCTCTTGTGGAATATTAGATCAAACCTGTTTCTAAAGACTTTTGAGAAAAGAGGCTTCAAGTTCACTTATCTTTCTCATTGTCTTCTACGTGAAACTGGTGCACTTGGGAAGACTCTGGGGAACATTCTTCCTTGTGCTACATTTTCTGTATGTGAGCAGAAGCTAATGGGTGTTGGTGTGTTATTAGTCACTTACTGTTGATAAGCAAACCAATACTATTATGATATTTTAGCAATATGATTGGAAGTGTGTCAGGAAAGTATGTATTTTATACTTTTTTAGTTGTTGACATCTAAACATGAGTAAACTGCATGTGCAAATGCCTCTGAAGCAACTCTAACACTTCCTTTATAATATGTTTAAGATGATGGAAAAAAACACAACTTTTTTATTATTTCCTAGGAGGAAGAGTTAAGAAAAAGTGGAGAGGCAAAGTACTTCCACCTAAATGACGACCTGCATGTTTTAATTGAAGTATTTGCTCCACCAGCAGAAGCATATGCCAGAATGGGACATGCATTGGAAGAAATCAAGAAGTTCCTCATCCCTGTTAGTATTTTAATTTTTTTCACAAGAATTCTTGTAGTCTTGAGTAAGAAATTTTATCTTTAAAACTAGCTTACTGTGCAATATTGGTCGAGTCATGTGGCTTAATTTCCTTCACCTGTTAAAGAAGTGGTGATACTTTCAAATACTTTCCATTTTGATGTTGGTGATTATTTGGTGAATGCATAACTGTCCGCATACACTCTCATCTCACGGTGAGACCTCTAGTGAGAGAGTGCAACTTATTCTTGCTTAACTGGTCATGTGCAAATTACTGAAGTTTACAAATAATTGTAAAAATCTGTAAAACAAGGAAGAACAATTTTCTTTGCTTAAAGTAGTGCTTTTCTGTGTTCTTGGTACCCCTGAAGCATCAACACAGGGTTCTGTTTCACTAAGAATAAATAGATTTAAAGTTGTAGTGTTGCTCCAACCCATAATCTTGGTTTAGTGTTCAGTGCAGACTATGAATACAATTTTATCTTGTATCTTTTTTTTCCCCAAAGCTAATGATACATGGGTTATACTTGTCGTCTTGGTGTATACTTCAACTTGGATGTATGGATGTATAAAATGAGATGTGATTTCCACTCTAAATTTGTACTCCAGGTTTGGGATATGTATAGACAATGGTGTTGCAGGGTTTCCGTGTCTTTGTACAGAAGGTTCCTTTTATTTGTTTCTCATTTAAGGACCAACCTTGATTGCTTTGTAATATTAAACTGCCTGGAACAATGCAAGCTCTCTTAAGAAGCTGGGGCATTTGAAGTGGTGTTACTGTGAAGTTCCTAGCTGTATTAGCTCTTCAGTGAGTGTTCTATTTTTATTGGCTATCAGATGAATGAATATAGAAAGCAAAGCATCCTGAAGGTGCATTGACTTTTGTTTATTTTAACTGCTGAAAATGTTATGCAAGTGTTAGTCTGGATTCGTGTCAGATCTTGGAAACATGGGAGGGTTGTATCTGAGTGATAGTGGCACATGAATATTTGAGAGAGTATAGTCAGTGCAGCTGTATTGAGAACCAGTTGGGGATGCCTGTTGTATGGCCGCTACAGCCTGTTAGGGGTGGAACTGCCAGCTGTACTCTAAGGTGAAGCAGTTTGTACTGATGACCTGACAGTGCTACTGTATGCATTTTGGGGATATTAGTTTGTGCTAAACCTGGTCTAGATCCATGAAACTTAAGTCCCCAAGTGACTGGAGTTGATTGTGTGCTCAAGTGTTTCTTCCTGCTTTTGTCTGAATTCAGGTTAGTTCATGTGCCTCGTAACTGCTCCATGACATGAACCAAAGCATGATAAGTGACAATCATTAGGAAGTTCATTTAGGAATACATTTTGATGTGAAATGGTGTGCTAATGTGGATGCACCTTAAGACAGTTAACCCCCCCAAATGTCTTGAGCATTATGTTCTATTATGAAGAAACAAGCACCACATCATAATTTTGTCTCTAGGTTCCAAATGGCTTTTATCTTGATGTGTATGAGGAGGTAAAAAAAATCCTACTGTTTAAACATCCTAACTGATTAAGTAGGAGATACTCAACAGAATATTTGTAGGAATACTGGGCTGTCAAAATGTCACAGGTTACTGTATTTACATGATTCATTATTTGATTGTGAAGAGAAGGCAGAACTAAGTTCTTGGCTAGTGAGCAAACAGGTTTTTTTCAGATGAAAATACCCTCCATTTGATAAGTACTTTTTGCATGCACTGGAACTAAGGATATATCTGATCGCCCTGCCCCCTTTATCACAGATCTTATTTTCCTTCATTGAGCTTGATTTACCTAATGTCCTAATAAGTGAAGCAAGTTTATCAAAACCCAGCCATTGCCTTACTGCTGTTCAGCCAGTAGAATTAGTCTGATAATGAGCAGTTCCATTCATTGGTTGTATACTGTCCATCACAGTTTTTATCATTGCATCCTTATTGCACTGAGCTGACCTGATGCTACCTAATCTTTTCTGAACTATGGGATCACTCTGACAGTGTCTTAATTTCCCTTTGGCTTTTCAAATGTAATCTTATCAGAGTGGTACTAAATGCCTTAATCTCTTCTGCCCCCATTGCAACAGCTACTTCAGGAAGCAATAAGGAGTACTTTGTCCTCTCTAGAACTACCATTTGGTTAACTGCTGCCAAATACAACTTGACTTTCATTTTTTATAAGGTCTGTTCTGGCTTTTTTGGCAAATTATCAGTTTTATTTCAAGTAAGAAGTCCTGCTATCAGTATATATGATTATCTTCTTAATTTGTGTTCTCCATACAGTGTAAGCTAACTGTACCTTCCAACAACTTCAGATACTGATTCTAATGTATGAATGTGGTCACTGTTCAGTTTTCAGATCAGGCCTGAATATACAGTCACAATTGGTGCTAGAATATGGGATAGAAAATATACTTGTAGTAGCTGACTATAGCTAAAATGCTTTAGCCTCTTAGATCTTTTTAGATCCATGACCAAGCTCCTTTTCATTGAAGTTCAACCTCAACCAGAAGCAGTGGTGTACTTTCCTTTAAGCTATTGGTATAACACAAGCCAAGACATAAAACCTTCTGACTCAAGGTTTTTTGGCTGTGCTTATGTTGTCTTGACTCTTGCCTGTCTTCTGCAGATAGAATTGTGGCTTCTGGCTTCAAGTATATTCTTTTGTGCTCCTTTAACTGAGCTAGTCCCTGTGTTCTGGGCAGACCTTCTGGTCAGCAGTCTGTTTGACTGTTAGGTTGGTGGATGTTGTGCTTGATATTAATTTATCCCCAAATTACTTCTGTCAGTTAAGACAAAAAGCCAGGTACTTCCACCTTTACCTCCCCACAGGTCCTGTATTATACCATGATTACTGCAGTTTTGTCCAATAGGACTTTTAATCTGTTTTGCTTAATGTTTGAGTAGTGGTAGTCATTCTTCTTTTGACAGCTACAACAATCATTGTTTTGCTGTTGGTCACCAGAGTTTTGTTTTCCTTGTGTTTAAAGTATAGAGATATCTTTGAGAGAACAATTTGTAGCAGTCCATTTACAGCCTGAGCAGAATTTGAGTTTTTCCTATAGTCTGCCTTGCCTTGTGTATTCAGTTTGTAAGGTGTGGTGATGAAATAGCATTTGATGGCATTTTGAAGAGCTGGTGGGCTTTGGAAACTCACACTTCTCTTTAAACAAGCTGGTGATTAACTCTAAGGTGTGTGTGTAAAGATCACACAATCACAGAATGTTAGAGATTGGAAGGGACCTCGAAAGATCATCTAGTCCAATCCCCCTGCCGGAGCAGGAACACCTAGATCAGATCACACAGGAATGCACCCAGGCGGGCTTTGAATGTCTCCAGAGAAGGAGACTCCACAACCTCTCTGGGCAGCCTGTTGCTGATAAAAATTTATTGCTCACTGATGGGATAAAGATCTGCTTGGGTGTGTTGCAAAATTGCATATGGTTTTGCAGGGATCTGTCCTGTTGTTAAATAAAATATTTTTACTAGTAGTGTGAATGTTAAATTGGAATAAGGTTTTAAGTTACAGATGGTCCCAAGGGGAGCTGCTGTCAGTGTGTTGACCAGGGCTGTGTAAAAATCACAGATAAATCTAAGAGAATGTTGCTTAGTTGGGTATGTATTTATTTTATTTATTCTATGTATGGAGAAAATCTCTTGCATGTATCTTGGTGACGTAGTCCTTCCTACAGAAGAAAACATCCTTCATGTTCAGAGAAGACTGTAGTCAAAGTCAGGACTGGCAATATTCATAAAATGAGAGTACATCTGTTCACTTGAAACCAATCAGCAGCATTTGACTGAAATTTGAGTGTTGCCTCTGCCTAAACTGTGCAGTCTAAAGTATTTCCATGTCCATCTTTCATTCTAAGTGAAGAAGAGATTGTTGTCTCCTCAATTTGATTTGAAGTGTGCTGTGTTCCAGCTGTGGGTATTCACAAATTGACCATCTGTTACCTTTAATTGAAGAATCCATTTCAGAGTCTAATGGATTAACACCGTTGCTTATCATGGCCACTTGTATTCTTATTTCCTTGTACTGCCTCTCCCCTCCATCCTCCTGTTGCCTCTGGTGTGTGTGATAAGGACCGTGTTTTCTGTTCTGTGCCTTTGTGCAGTGGAGTCCTTGTCTGTGACTCAGGCTGCTGCTATGTCTGGTAGTATGCTACAGGAAAATGAGAAAGTGTTAGGAAGAAAAAGGACCCAACATCTAAGGTGGTACTGTCAAGAAATTAAATTAATATTAAATAATGAACAAAGGTAACTTTTTCTAGGAGCCCAGTTCTGAGGAGGATGTCTTGTGAAGAAGTTGTAATGGGCATCTCTAATATATGCTGTCAGAACTTTGAGACCTGAATATTGTGTTTGTGGTACAGTTTTAACAATTCATTAGCATTTTGTTTCGAGATTGTAAGTTCTTTGTTCCATACATTGCACAGAATTTTGCATTTGTAGCCAGTTCTGGTCCAGCAACAAAGTACAACCATAAAGTAGATTTCTGTACAGTAGCTGACCAGAATTGTGTTCAGTTGCTTGTTTCTGTTCTACTCCCCTTGGTGGCTTGGCTTATGTATTGGTTCCAAGTTGTTTTATCATGGAATCTTTCTCAGAGCTTCAATTCTGCAGTTTGAAAGAGTTGGGTTAGTTTTCCAGACTTTTTTCTTCATCTTGTTTGCTGGTTGGTTTCTGCTGCTAATTAGAGGATGATCTCAGACAGCTGCGAGTTTAAGTTCAGAGCCTGTTTAAGACAGTTTGGACAAAATACCTTTGTAGTACCAGTTTTTTTAACACTAGTAACTATCTTCAGCAATGGCATATGAAGGAAAACTTTCTTATTTCTGTTTGTGGAAGCTAGGGGAAGCAGAATGTTTAAAGGGTAACTGAGATTTTTTGAGTTCATAGATGATTTAATGTCCTTGTACTGTGGATTTATGTTTCAGTGAGTTGTCTGATGCAAGGCTGCCTGACAGCCTTTTGGTACCTGCCTACTGCATAAATGTAGTAAAATCAGATTTTCAATAAGGGACGCAGATCCTTTGTTTTGTAATTGAAATGTAAAAATAGATGGTATTTGGACAAGCCTGCATTCTTTGAAATGGAAGGATTTGCAGAGGATAAGAGCTGTTATATCAGAAGTATAATTTCATTCTTATTAGAGGACCTTTTAATATTTTGATACTTACTGTGTATCTATACACAGGAGTAAAGCATTTCTTTTTTCTGATTCGCCTTCACAGATGCATTCTTTGGCTCACTTCAAGTGGAGAAAAAATGGCAGAAAAATATGTACAGCTCAAGAGTTTATTGCTGTATCTATTTTATTTTTGTGTGATGTGCTAGTTTTGGAGGTTAGCTCAAGGTCCCTGAAAAGACTCTTGTGTTTTTGAGAAGTACCATATTAATTCCATGTAAATAACTTAAGCTTTCTTTTTTGATAGACCTTGAGAGGGGATTTGTGCAGAATAAGAAACAAGCCACGTGCCTTCAAATTGTTTATCCTTGCATGTTCCAGAAATTGAATTTCTGTAGCTCTTATTAGATAATAGTGCATGTTTGTATTGAATGAGTTTCATTATTCTTTCTTTAACTCCTGATTTTAAAAGTGTAGATGTCTAATCTATTCCTTAGTTGTCAGCGGCTGGTCTTTACAGTGCATTTTACTCTCTATTGCTTTGCAACACCAGCTAATGCCATTTTTCCTGCTTTTAAGTCATTCTCCAGCTGGAGCTACAAACCAGATCTCAGCTCAGAAATAGGACCTTGATTTTTTTTGTTGCTTCCTGCTATCTACAACACTGTAACATTGGCATTTTAATTGGTAAAGCTACATGAAGGTAATATGCAGTGGGAAAGAAAAACATGCCAGAGCAAAAATTGCTGTTAATATGTAGAATTCTTTTAGAAATTTTTGAATAATGTTCCTATATTATTCTGCATATTAAACTTTTTCAATGCCATGTTCAACCTTAAGTGGAAACTTTCAGGAGCAGCGTTTGGTTGTTGAACAGTTTGGTTTCTTTTCTCACCCTACCCCCTGTTTTAGGACTACAATGATGAAATCAGACAGGCACAGCTTCAAGAGTTAACATATTTAAATGGTGGTTCTGAAAATGCAGAAGTTCCAGTAGTTCGCGGAAAACCATCTATTCGAGCAAGAGGAGTACCAGTTCCTGCCTTGTCCAGGTAAGTATCTCAACTGCAGTGGAATTTACTTTGAATGTGTATATTTTAAGCTTTCCCTTCAAAGGGAAAAACAAAAACAAACACATAAACCAGTACAATAGTGAAATATGTGAAGGTCCCCCAAAATAAGAGTGAAAGATAAGGGAAACAAATCTTTATTTCTTGAAGTTAGTCTAATTAGCTTAGACTGAATGAACAATGGTGCTGAAGTTTGTCTTATGAAACTTGAATGGTACCTAAGTTAAGAAACAGTGTACATCATAAAGATGTTCAATCTTACTGTGGGTGGCACAGTAAGACTTCTGTGCTGCTTGACTTCTAACTTTCAGTTGCTACTTAGGTGCCTGGAGGGTCTGTGTATTGGCCCTGGAGCTCATGGCTCTGAAAAACGGGTAAATCTTGCCTTGATTGAAACAAATTACAGATCAATTTCTCTAACTTAAGGTATATACATACTCCTTTTACTGTGTTACAAAGCTTTTCTTAGTCCTGATGTTATGGAATTATTTGAGGTGGAATTTGGATTTCATCACATCTGTGTTGTGCTTATGTCATACAAAACTGCCTTTTGTTTGATTCAGGACTAGGCAAGTCTACTGCTTCTGCTTTGTTTTTCTTTGACGTGGAAGATGTTTCATATTTACTCCAGCATCCCCTATCTTCCTTGCAGTACTGAGATGACAGCTTCAATTCCTTTGAGTCCCAAAGTGTGAAAACAAAAAATAAAGTGCACTACTATTTCTGTTACAGTACAGAGAGGTTGTGACTGCAGCAGCAAAGTGTAAGAGTTTTCTACAGTGAACTGTCTTCCTTCACTTGTGGCTGTGGTGCTTATTAATACAAGCTTGAAACCTATATTTCAGCTCTTAGAATACTTTAGCAATAATATTCTGAACTGTTTCAATGCAGATTAAGGATGCTAGAAGAACAAGCACTGAGGAATTATTCCAGTTATATGGATCTGTTTGCAGTTACATATGTCTGGTAATAACGAATGCAAACACAATGCAGAATGAATCTTAATTTAGAGAATTTATATGTAGTGTTGGTGGTATCCTGCAAGAATACAATTATTTTTTTATAAATCTACAGTTTTTTGTTCTTATATTCTTAAATAATAGTGTGCAATACATCTATTCCCCTTCTTTTCTTGATTTTAATGCTGTTTAGAGTACTGGTAATTGTATACCAAGGTTTATGTCTTTAGCACAGCAATCAGCCATACAAAAGTGCTTGCAAATTAGAAATCTCATTTGATTTTTGGAGATAGGTTTTTTGCTAATTTTACTTTGGTTCTTAAATATCTGTTTTTAACTTTTCCATAGATGCCTGTAACAGCTCTGCTAGAGATACTTAGTACAGAGACAATCAGTTCCATTTCATGTTTTCTTCAGTTTCCATGTGTCCCTAAGCTAGTGTTTGTGATAAGTTATTGTTTGGTCTGATCTTATCACTAAAGGTTTACACCTAATTTCCACTACTGGCATCTAGCACATGCATGCATAATCAACTTTTCATATCACTGAATTTCTGACATCACTAGTTCCATCCTCTAGGTTTCAGTGAATTATTTTTCAAACCTGCATTTTATGTAAGACAGAAATGCTGTTAGGCAGCTCACAAAATCCATTGTAGTTCATCCTGTTGACCTCCAACTATTGAAGTGTTTTAAAGGTAAATTTAAATGTTATTAGAATTTGATTTAGCGATGGCAGCTAAAAACTGTATTTGTCATCTCCTTTTTGTATATATTCTGAAGAAAACTGAAAGGTGTTTAGTTTGACTTTTCCCTGCTTTAAGGCTTGCCTTAAATTGCAAGACTTTTCTCACTCAAATTGAAGCTCTCTGTTAGTGTAAGAGACTCTTGAAGTGAAATTTAATGCCATTGCTACTGTGATACTACAGCTGTTGAGTTAAAGATCTTAAACTCAGTTGTAATGCTCCGAATCTTTTTTACCACTAATTGATTTCAGTGAGTAATACTTTCATTGAAGGAAGGCTTTGTTAAAGGCTTTATCTCAGTGTTAAATAAAACAGTTTTAATGGCAAGCATCCCTGAGATATCCAGGAGAGGCTGAAGCAAAGCTTGAAGACTTGTAAAATGAAGTCTAAAACCTCAATCCTAATCCCTCTTTATAATCCACAGAATATTTTTAAGCCTTGATACATGAAACATCTTGTTGAGGATGTAATAACTGAGTGTGTTTGAGTTCCCCATTTTTTAAGCCTTTATTACTCCCGAATAGTTCACGTAAAAAAAAACAAAGTACTAATTTATGCCTTTTTTTACCCCTTATCAGACATGTTGAAACTGGAGATAATGCATCTTATCAAGTGCCTTCTTTTAAGATGATTTGTTATGTGTATGTTTAACTCCATAGCAAAATTTTACTTTGTAGAAAACAATGTTTGTGCTTGCATACAAAATTCTAGCTTGTGCACAGGTATTCCTATATATGGTAAGTAATTTCCTAATGATTGTGGTTTGGTAACTTCTTTATTGTGCTATTTCTGGCTTGTTCCAGATTTTGACTGTCTTTTTTCTGACTCCAGAGCCAAGTAAGATTTTGGGGTTGAGTGGATGGAATTTGCTGTAGAGGGTTGTGCGATTTTGAGCTTTACCTTTAGGGATATGCTTTTCTTGTTGTTGATCTTGGGCGTATAGCTGCTTACTTCTGCCCTCTTGCCCCTGTTTTTTTTTTTTTTTTCCTTCATCCTAATATGGTTAAAGATGACTCTCAGATGTAATCACAATGCTTCTATTTTCTGTGATGTTTATGCTAAGCATTTAACCTCTCTAGGTAGTACCTGCCTCTTGTGCAATGAGAGAAGGGACATGAGAATCTTTCCCTGGTGGAAGTCTGGTTGTAATTCCTTTGTTTTTATTAATTTTATTTTTTTTTGGAAGTGATTATATAAAATGAAGGCTCGTACCAGTTACTTTTTAATTTGTTGTGCTAGCAAGTTTAGAGGATCTATGAAGTTTAATGTGGTGTTGTTACAGTGAGCAGTTACAAGCTTTTGAAAACAGTGTTTCTTTAATGCATTTGAATTCCCATCCTGAATCAGTGCAATATAGATGATAATACTACTGAAATGTAAATTGAGACTTCTGATTAACTAAAGACTGCAAATAAACATGTGTTAACATACACATTAATGTACACCTGTAAGGACGTTTTGCAAATAAAGTAGCATTTCCTCTCTAAAACTTCACATTCCTAAGAAGAAGTACAAATCAGGTTTAAGGATCTCTCCGTTCTGATGGAAACTAGATATACTGGAAAACTGAAATTCTAGAGGATTAGAATAGTAAGAATATGGATAAATCTTCCTTGCTACCTTGGGGTGTGGTGGGAACCAATTAGTGTCACTTGTAGCTAGAAATCACTTAGAATCATAGAATGGTTAGTGTTGGAAGGGATCTTTAAAGATCATCTAGTCTAACCCTCCTGCCATGGGAAGGGACATATTCCCCCAGATCAAGTTGCTCAAAGCCCATCTGGCCTGACCCTGAACACTTCCAATGATGGAGCATCTGCAGCTTCTCTGGGCAGCCTGTTCCAGTATCTCACTACCTTAATTGTAAAGAATTTCTTCCTTATGTCCAATCTAAACCTACCTTCTTTCAGTTTAAAACTGCTGCTTCTTGTCTTGTGCCTACAGGCCCTGGTAAAATGTCTCTCTCCATCTTTAAGCAGCCTTCCTTCAGTATTGAAAGTTCCCAATAAGGGAGAGCTGGTTGGATTCACTTCCCAGAGTGAGAGAGGAATTGTATCTGAAAGCGAAATTGTATTTGTATTTTGGTTTCACTAGGATGAAGAAAAGAAAAAGTAATTTCTCAGAGCCGACATGTAGGAATAGTCTAATTAAAGAAATAGCAAAATTCTGGTTTGTGTTTGCATGAGATTGGGGTTTTTAGTTTTCCCATTTATACTTTTAATTCATATTTCAGTGTATGCATGGCTGAGATCCTAACGGTTGAATGACTGTCACTCTATCTGGGGACAAATAAAACTCTTACGGAAGTTGTAGGTTAGAATTTCCTGTCTTATATGTCAGAAGTGATATGAGGTGATGTGGATCACTCCTATAATGTGTTCATAACTTCCAATTGTTTGTTAGTCACCAGATCAAACTTAGATCATTCCTGTCGTATTTCTGGAATTAACTGGTTTCTTCTTTGAAGAATAACTTCTTGTTGAGAACATGTAGGACTGCAAAAGATTCAGTAGCACAAAAAATACTTGGCAGAGCCAGTTCAGAATCCAGGACAAAGGCAGGTATTGTTTGTTTTGTTTCTTTAGTCTTGTGGTAACGCTCCCATTTTTCACTAAATGGAAACATGAACATACATATTACTGTTTTCAAATAAAAATGTGAAACAAAACTGGTGTAAGAGTGTTGACTTCAATTATGACTCATTAAAAAAAATATATATATAGAAAAGCAGGATTCCTAGCTCTGTGAGTACTATCCAGACATCAGTGTTCAATATTTTGGTACTAACACTTTAAAATACCAGGTCTGTTATTTTTCAGATGTCTAATATGAAACCTGAACAAAAATATTTGCTGTTTGAGGAACATTGACTGTAGTTGGTTGTGAAGAAAATATAGCAACATCTGGTAACAAAATTTGGTCTGTTTTGTATGAATTACAATTAATATGTACTTAAGGAGGGAGGTTTCCTGCATCCAAATCTGAAATTCTGGGTAATATACTGATGTAAGATTAAGAAGAGTAGAGGTTTTTCTTACAAATGTAGCAAAAATAAAACCAAACACTAGTGTCTCCTGTGATGCTGCAGTACTTGTGTATTTGTAGTATCATAAATCTGAGGGATCACAAGCAAGGACCTTTTTATTTCAGATATCCTAAAAATAAGGCACATTAACTCTATTTCAAACTCTGTTTCAAAGTATTTACACAATCAAAGTATACAAAAAGTTTTAAGACAGATATGTGGGTGTTTCATTGTCTGTTTATGTGCACCATTA